GGGAGGTGGGGAATAGGGACTTGTTTAATGCGTACAGAGTTCCAGTTTTGCAAGATGAAAGGAGTTCTAGAGATGGATGGTGGTGACGGCTGTACAACAATGTGAACGTACTTAACACTGCTGAACTGTACACTTAAAAGTGGTTAAGATGGTGGATTTTGTTGTGTGTATTTACCACAATTAAAACAAAACAAAACAAAACAGAAGCTGGGTGCAGTGGCTCACACCTGTAATCCTAGCTTTCTTGGAGGCCGAGGCCAGCCTGAGCAAGACCCCTGTCTCTTATAAAAAAAAATAGAAAAATTAGCTGGGCATGGTGCCTGTAATCTCAGCTACTCGGGAGGCTGAGGCAGGAGGATCGCTTGAGCCCAGGAGTTTGAGGTTGCTGTGAGCTAGGCCGACACTGCTGCACTCTACCCAGGGCAACAGAACAAGACTCTGTCTCAAAACAAACAAACAAAACCCCCCCCTGCCATACCATTTTCTAGAGTGGCTGAACTATTTTTATTTCCATCCGTGATGTATGAGAGTTCCACCTCTTCCACATTCCCCATAGTACTTAGTGTTGGAATTAAAATTTTTTTCTAACCATTTTAATACATTCGTAGTGGTATTGCACTGTGATTTCGGTTTGTATTTGACTAATGATGTTGAACATCTTTTCATGTGCTTATTTACTGTCTGTGTGTCTTCTTTGTTTATATGTCCAAATCTTCCCCCCTCCCTTTTTTATTGGGCAATTTTGTTAATTTTACAAGTTCTTATATATTTTGGATCTAAGTCCTTGATTGTCTATATAATTTGTAAATATTCTAGTCTGTAGCTCGTCTTTTCATGCTCTTAACAATATCCAGTTTAACGTTCCTGTTATGGATCATGGTTTTGGTATTTATAACTAAGAACTCTGAGTAACTCCAGGTTGGTTAGACATGATTTTCTTCTAAACGTTTTGTAGTTTTGTTTTACATTTGTTTGTGATCTGATTTAACATTTCTGTAAGGCATGAGGTGTTGGTTGAAGTTCATCTTTTTGCATGTGAATATCCAGTTGGTCCAAAACCATGTATTGAAAAGACTGGTCTTTCTCCTGAATGGCTTTTGTAGCTTTGTCAAGAATCACTCGACCGTGTTTGTGTGAGTCTATTCCTTGACCTTTTGTTCTGTTCTATTGGTCTTTGTCTATCCTCCATCACCTTAATTGCTGTAGCTTTATGGTAAGTTTTAAAATTGGGGTAGAGTCCTCCAACTTCGTCCTTCTTTTTCAAAATGATTTTGGCTATTTTGGTTTCTTTGTCATTTATGTGAATTTCACAATCAACTAGTCTGTATCTAAGACAAGTCCTGCTGGGATTTTGGTTGGGCTTGCATTAAATCTATAGATCAATTTGGGAATAATCGATATCTTAATTATTTTGAGTCTTCTAAGCCATGAACCTGGTGTCTCCGTCTATTTAGTTCTTCCTTGACTTCTTTCATCAGTATTTTTGTCGTGTTCAGCATACAGATCCTGGACACATTTTGTTATATTTATAACTATTTTATCTTTTGGAGGTATCATAAATGATTCTTTTTATAATTTTACTTTCTAATTGTTCATTGATAGTGTATAGAAATATAGTTACTGTTCATGTTTGACCTTGTATCCCATGACCTTGAAAAACTCATTCTGGGACCTTTGTTGTAATTCTTGAAATTTTATGTGCAGACATTCCTGTCATTTGTGAATAGGGACAGTTTTAGTTCTTCCTTTCCAACCTGTATGCTTATTTTCGGCACAGGGGTTGGAGGGGCGTATTTCACAGGCTAGAACCTGCTGTGCCAAACGTGAGCGGCAGAGGAAGCCCTCCTTTGCCTTATTCACAGCTTTGGGGGCAAAACATTATTTCACCATTAAGTGCGATGTAGGATTTTTTGGTATATCTAACTTTATTCTTAATACATTTTTTAAGTATTCTAATAAAGTATGTTGTTGGAAAGCTAAAGAATTTTTCTTCTAATTTCATTACCCAGAAGTGAACACTGTTAACATGCAAATATATGCCTGCAAATATGCGTAAGGGATTGTAGTAAATATGCTTTGTTCTCTGCTGCATTTGCTTATCGGCGTATTGTAAATGTTCATCTATGGCGATGAACATATCTATCATAACTTTGATGGTTGTATAGTGTCCTGTTATAGGAGGGTGTACCATAATTTACCCACTCCTACCTTATCATACATTTAATTTTTAGCCAGTTTCTTTCTGTTACATTCACAACTTCCACATGTATATGTCTTTAAGACTTCTCCTCTTCCTCTTCTGAATATGGTTTCCTAGAAGTGGAGTTACTGGGTCAGAAGGTACACAGTTCTTGAGGCTGTTGATTCACATTACCTGAAGCTCACCTATGACCAACTACTTACAGTTATGAGATGTCTGAGGGAGTTGGTAGCAGAGGCTTCAGCTGTATAACCCTTGGAAAGTTTCTTAACCTCTTTCAGCAAAGCCAGCTGATCAGGAGAGTCTTGTTCACATTTGCACAAGAATCTTAACCAACGAAGAGATTCTGAAGACCTGTGCTGACCAGCCCACCTTTTCTGATGGAATCTTTGAAGGCTTTAAGTTTTCAACTTTATCCTGTTTACTTAATTCCCTAAACTTATATGACATAATGTGAGGCTTTGGAGTTAAAGGGTATGGGTTTAAATCCCTGGTTTGAGTGTGTGTTTGGCTCTCTGGGCCTCAACTTTCCCATCTGCAAAATGGGTACAGTACAACTAACCTCGTGGTGTATTGTTGATGTTCTAATGAGACAAAGTATGTGACAGAGAAGAGAAGGACGTGAACTTGGAGAGGCTTGAGTAAATTGTACAGCCCACATCAGGGAATATTTTCCCTCTCACAGACCTTTTCAGGACTTGTTAATTGTTTAGCTTCAGACATTTGGTGTTCCTATCACAGATGGAGAGAGTGCAGAGCCTATGGAAACGCCCGTGGCTGCTTTGTCTAGGATGAGGGGATACTTAACTGGCCCCTTCGTAGTTTACTTTCTCTAAACTTCTGAGATGAATGTAGAGTTCTCAGCGAATACCTAAGTAGGTGGTAGTTTCTGCTTTTGATCCTGATGTTCTTTCTCCCGGAGTATAGTGCCGCAAAGCAAAATATAAAGAAAGTGTTGCCTTCGTGGGCTGAGGTGTAGTCAGATGCACTGAAAACAGACACAGACCCAGTGATGAGCTGTCCTGTGTTCTTTAACTCAGCGTGTGGCATGTCCATACCAAGCAGTAGTATTTCCATCTGTAAATAGGCTGAGCTAGAGGCTGACTGGGGTGAATTGTTAAATGAGACAACCCAGTTGCAGAAAAATTGATGATGGGATCCTGTTTTAGGCCGGGCGTGGTGGCTCACACCTGTAATCCTTGCACTCTGGGAGACCAAGGTGAGCGGATCGTTGAGCTCAGGAGTTTGAGACCAGCCTGAGCAAAAGCAAGACTGTCTCTACTAAAAAAAATAGAAAGAAATTAGCTGGACAACTAAAAATATATAGAAAAAATTAGCTGGGCATGGTGGCGCATGCCTGTAGTCCCAGCTGCTTCGGAGGCTGAGACAGGAGGATTCAGCCCAGGAGTTTGAGGTTGCTGTGAGCTAGGCTGATGCCATGGCACTCTAGCCCAGGCAAAAAAAAAAAAAAAGAAAGAAAGGATCCCGTTTTATAAAGTAAGCTGTGTGAGTGCACTGGGGTGGTGGTCATTGTCTGAGCATGGAGGAAGGCATGAAACGTACACACCATGTTTTTACCCTTGGTTACCATGGGGAAGGGATGAGCGGAGCAGTAAACAAGGGAAAGATGACTTCAGACAAACAAATTAATGGTGCATGGAAATGTTTCATCCTTGAAAAACTATACTTAGGGTCTGTGTGCATACCCGGGGGAAGTAGGATAAGGTGGATATAAAATGTTAATGGGGTTTATTTCAAGGTATTGGGGTTTCATCTCATTTTTGCATTCCTTCTTAAATGTGTTCTGATTGTGTGAGTATTTTGTAGTGATCATTTTTAATTTTATAATTTTAGAAGCAACCCAGTCTTAAGCTCTTCTCATTGCTAGGAAAGAAACATTTTTCTATCGTATTTAAAGGCACTCAGGCTCAAGACCTGGGGGTAGGGAGTGGGGGCTCAGGCAGAAAATGTGGAAGAGGCTCCTCGGTCTGGCATAGCTGGTGAGAAACCAAGTCTGAATCCCAAAGGAGGTGGAGAAAAGCTCTTGTGGGCCTTGGGGACAGGAAGACCTGGCTTTGGATCTTGGCATTATGTCCCGTTGGTGGCCCTGTGGCCTTGGTCAGAGAGCTTATCTATCCAACTCCTCTCCTGTAAAATGAGAATACGACAGGGTCGTTGTGCGTTTCTCCACTGAGTGAAGCGTGGCTGGATGGATGGATGCGTGCTCGATTCAGTGAGACGTGTAAAGTCTAAATACTCAACAGGTGGCAGTTTTCTCTCCCTGGTCCTCAGCTTCCATCCTCAGCCAGTGTATGCAGGGGGTGAATTCAGTAGGTGGGGTCCTGTCGTAGCCTGGGTTCTGTGTTCCGTGGTATATAGTCTTCCATGGGGGTGGATGTGGACTTGGTCAGCTGCTTCTTTTCTTTATGCCTCAGTTTCCTTATCTACTTGGTATGTGCTTCTGTAAATGGAGAGAATATTACAGAGTGTGCCTGACACCGCGCTGGGCATCTAACAGATTGATGGATTCAAACAGCCTGAGCATAGGCATGTGTCAATATTCTGGATTTTGGGGCACTAGAACCAGTTCATGCTTATCTCCATCATGTAAGAACAGTTCTTGAAGTCACTCTGCAAACGTGTCTTTGATAATAGTCTTTTCCAGCGATCTCTAAAACATGAGACTATATTAATGTTTATAAGATGCAAATTATGTGCTTTTATTTACACAGATTCCTCCCCACCTTGGGTGTGAATTGCCAATTTTTAAATATATTTTTTAACATTCTTGTACCTGCAGAGAAAACGAGGTGCTCAAAGTCCAGCTGAAGAAATACGTAGGAGCTGTCCAGATGCTGAAAAGAGAAGGTCAAACAGCTGAAGGTGAGGGGGACACTGAGTTCGGGTGGGGAGGGGCTGAGCGTTTTCATTATCCCCTGTGCCTGGTACGTAGTAGGCGTTCGACATGTCATGAGTACATACGCGGATGAATGAGAGAAATGGTGCTGTTCGGGATCCTGGAAAACAGGAGGAAAATCCTGCTGTGTGTTGTTGTTAAATGTGTAACTATTAACAATTACGGTAAGACTCACTAGACTATCAGCAATAGCCGTATCAGCCTGTGTACTTAAGGACTTTTATGTCCAGAGTCTTGAGACACTTGCAACGCAGGGAACCTTGTGGTGTGTTGCTTGTGCGTCAGGCCGGGCGTGCAAGCAGCAGAATGCCAAAGTGATGGAGAATCAGAGCTCTGGACTTAGGCTGACCAGGTTCCGATCCCCAGCTCTGGTTAAGTTTCTTATTCTCTGTGTACCTTGGTTTTCTCATCTGTAAAATGGGATTAGTTGACAGCACCTACCTCATGAACAATCCACATAGACATCTTTGCATAACGCCTACAATAGGGTAAGTACTGGGTAAATTGTAGCTATTACTGTTGTTGATGTTATTAATCAGAAATACACATAGACAGAAAAATGATCACTTCACGAGGATCTTGTTAAACGAGGTGGTGCCATATGCTTACTCTCTCTGCACTTTGTGTACGGTTTACCTGTCCTGAATCTCCTGAAATGTTTCCCAGGTCAGTGGGAAGAAAGGGGACTTAACTTTTGCAGCCCTCAGCTAACCGAGTGTGACAAAATTTTGTTAAAGAAAGATGAGCTCTTGGAGTGTGGACATTTTAACCAAGGCGGACACTCCACACTCGCAGGCCTTGGCTGGCAGCCAGACTTGGAGTTATTGCCCCATGTGTGCGAGGAAGCATCACACTGATGTCATGCGGTCCCCGTGGGGATTTACCAAAATAATGAACACAAAGTTTCCAGCATGGCACGTGGCGTATAATAAATGGTGGCTATTTTTCTATGTAATGGAGATGGGGTTGGAATCTGGATATGGCTGACGTAGTAGTAATATCATAAAGACGCGAATTTTTCTGGAAGCTTGTATGTTTTATTATGGTCTCCATTGATCAGGATCAGCATGTTGGTGATAATTTTTTTCAATAACGTGCCTTGCTTTATTCCTATTTGGTCTGCAGCCAGGATCAGTCCAGGGGCTGTCAGTGCAGAATTAATCGTATCTTCTTCTGTGGGCTCATTGCCCCTTCCGCACACATGATGCTATTATGGCCCTGAATTAATTTCATTATGCAGAATTATGTATGTGTTGGTCTTGCGGCTTTTCACTTCTCATCTCTGTTTCCCCAGCAACTGGCTTTGGTAGTCACTCATTACATTCATTATTTGTCTTGAATGGATAGTATTCGTCTAGCCCTTTACCCTTTCCAAGCAAGTTCAAATGTATTCTGATTTGACTCAGTAACTCTGTGATGAGTAGGTAGTTTTTCCTCTACATTAAAAAATTTATTATTGGAGGCTTAGGAGAGCTTAAGGGGCTGGTTCATGTATCTGGGGTGGAAATGATCTTGGGTATTTTCCTCCAAATCCCTGGTTCTTTGCATTATAAAATTCTTAAACTTTAGTGTGCAGAGGAATTACTGGAAGAGCCTATTAAATATGCCTCTTCCCAGGACCCTGTCTCTGGGAGTTGTTGCAGGGGATTTAGGATGAGGCTCTAGATTTGCATGTCTAGATATGTGACTCTAACGCAGGTGACCTATTGACTGTTCTGTCAAACCTTTTGTGAATTCTATACTTTACCTGCACAGAACTTTGATTTAAAGCAATAAGAAAATTAAACCTAGGAAAAAAAGCACCACTGGACTTGCTTTTTTTTTTTTTGAGACAGAGTCTCACTCTACCGCCCTGAGTAGAGTGCCGTGGCGTCAGCCTAGCTCACAGCAACCTCAAACTCCCGGGCTCAAGCGATCCTCCTGCCTCAGCCTCCCGAGTAGGTGGGACTACAGGCATGTGCCACCGTGCCAGGCTAATTTTTTCTATATAGTTTTTTTGGTTGTCCGATTAATTTCTTTCTATTTTTAGTAGAGACAGGGTCTCGCTTTTGCTCAGGCTGATCTTGAACTCCTGAGCTCAAACAATCTGCCCGCCTCAGCCTCCCAGAGTGCTAGGATTACAGGCGTGAGCCACCGCGCCTGGCCTGGACTTGCTTTTGATTTGAAAACCCCGACACTACAAAATGCATTTCCGACTAGGAGGATTTTTGGAGTGATTCTCTGCAAATGGGCACACAGAAGCTACAGGGCACAGAATGGTTTCTTACGGCAGCTGAAGTTCTATTTCCCAAGACTCAGCCTGAGTGCTCTGAACCAAAGCTGGGTGTGAGCCTTTTCAGGATGCAGTTGTGATAGCTCTTACGTGGATTGGAGTGGAGATGATCAAGCATGTTCTTCTCTTCCAGTAGCAGCAGCCCCTCACTCTGTTCTCTTAGCGTGTGATTTAAGACCATGTCACCTTATCTGTGAATCCTCCTTCAATGGAAGGTTTTTATGAAAACTGTCAAGCGTGGGCATGTACCGGGGCCCTATTATTGCCTATGTAAGTCCTGCAATTCACTCCTTTGCTCACTTCACAAATATTAATGAGCACTCACTGTGTGCCGAGGACCCTGAATAGCCTTAATAAAAGACAACTCATTCAGAAATTGCACAATGGCCTCCTTTCAATGGCTTTTATCTAATTTCAAATGATTTCATCTATTACTCAAAGAAATTGGGACTCACTCCTCATCTCCCAGCTAGTTGCTGCCTCAGTTAGTGGAAAACCATTGCGTATGTCCTGGCCAGGCTGTGGTGGCTCTGGGTGTCTAGGAGTTGGAAGCACCTGAGACTGTAGGTGTGCACCACCACGACTGGCTAATTATTTAATTTTTTATAGAGACAGGGTCTTGCTGTGTTGCCCAGGGTGGTCTTGAACTCCTGGCCTTAAAGCAATCCTCCTGCCTCGGCCTCCCAAAGTGCTGGGATTACATGTGTGAGTGGCCTAAGAACCCTTTTTTGATCTATGATTTCCTCGGCTCTTGGTGTTAGGGGATGGACACAGGGATGTCTTCTTACTTCCTAAATTCTAGGTGGAAACTTAGAATGCATTTCCCACAACTTAAGCTTTTTAGTTTGAGGATATAAAGATTCTTTACCAAGAAATTGCTTATGAAATTGTGAGCTCATCAGTAGGGAAAAGAGTGAAAAAATCATTTAATCCCCAAATGCCTTCAGGGTTGAATAGATTCCCAAGGACTACCCTGGGACCCTCACCTTCTTTATTACATTCTTGTGGAAAAACGCCTCCAGGATTAAAAAAAAAAAAACAAAAAAACAACTTAAACTTTTAGAATAGATTGTTGACAACCTGCAATTTTACAGGAATTGACTTTCAGATTTCTACCCTCCTCCTTTTTTTTTTTTTTTTTTTCAGAGTGTGATCTAGTCCCTCCAAGAAAATTATGACTTAACCAGAAAAATAGGGAGTAGAATTTTGGGTGGCTTCATTATATAATGGAAAGTTTTTTTTTCTTTTTTCTTAGTGTGGGCCAGAAGTGAGGTTGCGTTCTTCAACACTAAAGTACTGTTTTTCCACGGTCAGGTCAAATGTGGTGAAAGCTTACGCCTGCATTTGTGTTTTTGGATCTCTCATCTTGGAACAAGATGTCTTTGTGTTCTTCCTCTATCATCAGAGCTAGGGCATAAGGGCCGCCATGTTCACGAGGAACTAGCTTGGCAATCCAACTTCCATTGTAACTCTCATCGGATGTTTGATCAATTCTGTTGTTAATGAACTTGGACATCCTTTCTCCTCTCCAGGGAGCCAGTGCGGGGCAGTCTCACTTCTGGCAAGAGAGCAGGAGATCACTCCTCAAACTCATGTTTTCATCTGAGGCTTATTGCTGAAGTTTGAAGCAAGATGGGTGGAATGTTGGCTTTCTGCTTGTAGAGGCCTCCTGGCAGCTTGCTGAGGGGTCTGCAGAGCAGGTGAATCACTGTAGCTTCAGACTGCAGATGGGCTACCGTGACAAGACTGGCTCATTCTCTTAGGAGCAGACTCACATTAGCCCAGTACACAGACAGCGACGTACAACAGAAGAGCACTTTATTCAATGGTGGTGAGACGTAGAGCTGTTGGGTAGACCAGAAGGCCCATGTTTGGTGCTCAGGCCTGTCCTCCTCTGGACTGATCAGCTTGGGAAGCTGGAGTCTCACCTGTTGGCTGCTTGGTGAATCAGAAAAGGAGGAACTAGCTGGTGGTTCCAATGTTCAGTGGCATCAGACCTGATAGAAATGTGTCCGTCACTTGGAAAGGGAAAGGTCACCAGGCCTGGACAAGCCCTCACTTGAGTCAACTTCTGGCTCATTACACGGCCCATTTGCTTCTTCTAGCTCATGGTTTATCAGACAATTCTGGGGAGTGATAGCTCTGTCGGATCTTCGTTGAAGTTGGGGGTGGGCAGCTATTAAATACTACATGAGATACTTACATACTTTGTGCTTATCCCGTAACAAGTGGTCAGCAAATGGTACTTTGTTTCAGTTTGTAATTAATCATGGATCTTCTCTTTCCCCCTCCAGTTCTCTATAGGAAATAGTTGCAGGAATCAGACAATTAGTGATCAAAATAACATTTTTATTACCTGACAGTCGAGCTTGACCTGTATCCAGAATCACGCTCCCTGGCACACTGCCTTCCGGGTCTGTGGACCTGGGAACCTCCCTTGTGCGGCATTGTTGGGTCTTTGGAATTACTTCTTACTCTTTGGGGACCCACGAGGAAGAGGGTCCAAGAGGGTCCATGGGGGAATTTCATGTTTTGGTACAACAACTCTACCTAATCGAGAATGTCACCAGTCAGGTACGAGTTGGGGAGTGAGGCTGAGAGCATCATGAGGGTGGAGTCCCCTCGTGGAAACGTGGCTCTGGGTGGAGGTCCTTCGCCGAGATCCACGATGGCCGCAGCCGTTGAGATGAGCCC